AATAAATAAATAAAAATAAAAAACAGCTTTATTGAGATATAATTCATATACCCTAAAATTCACCCTTGTAAAGGGTACAATTCAGTGCTTTTTAGTATATGGGCAGGATTGTGCAACCATCATCACAGTTTAATTTTAGAACGTTTTCTTTTTCTTTTTTTTAAGACTAGTCAAGTGCAGTAGTGAGAGGTGGAAAAAGAGTAGAACAAGAAGTTTGATCTGTAACTGACTGTGAACAACCAATTGAGATAACTCGCTGCCTTTGGACCAGCCTCATTTTAGAACATTTTCATCCTCCTCCAAAAAAGCCCCATATCGGTTAGCAGTCTTTCCCCATTTCTCCACCCACACTCCAGCCCCTGGCAACCATTACTCTAATTTCTGTCTCTATAGATGTGGCTATTCTGGGATTTCATATAAAAGGAATCATGCAATATGTGGTCTTTTGTGACTGGCTTCTCTCATTAGCATAATGTTTTCAAGGTTCATTGTGTTTTCACATGTGTTAGTTCTTGATTCCTTTTTAATGACTGAATACTATTCCATTGCGTGGTCATACCACATTTCGTGTATTCATTCATCAACTGATGAGCATTTGGTTGCTTCCGCTTTCGGGCTATTACAAATCATACTGCTGTGAACATTCGTGTACAAGTTTTTGTGTAGATGTATGTTTTCATTTCTCTTGGATTTATACCTAGGAGTGGAATCCCTGGATCATATGGTAACTCTATGTTTAACATTTTGAAGAACTGCCAGACTGTTTTCCAAAGTGACTGCACCATTTTACATTCCCACCCGCAATGAATGAGGGTTCCAATTTCTCCACATGCTTGCTAACACTTCTCATTGTCTGTCCTGTGGATTTTAGCTATCATAGTGGATGTGAAGCAGTATCTGTGTGTGTGTGTGTGTGTGTGTGTGTGCACGCGCGCGTGCGCGTGCTTAAGAAACTAATGTTTATTTTCCATCAACCTGATTTCCATTTTCTGTTCAAGAGCCTGTGGAAGAACAGCTTAAGACCACTCAGTGGTTGTTCCTATCCATTCAGCTATCTGAAAGTGACTGCTGTAGATCAGCCTCCAGTAGCAGGCTGAGTGCTCCAAACTTGAGCAGAGAATTATTGAATAGGCACAAAGGGCACCTGCACGCTTTCAGACCAGTCTGCACCCTCAGGATGAATAGCAGCAGACTCTGGAGCTGACGCAGCCCATTCACCCTGAAGTTTCTCCTTGGTCAGAGCCTTTTCAGCAGCAGCCTGCTCTTCCTTTTCAATCTTTTCAGGATCTCTGCAGAAATAGAAATCAGGCATGACTCTCACGGGTGTTCACAGGAGGTGGTACCACACTCCTGCAGAACCTTCTGGGCCAGCATCCACTCCACCAGACCCCCAGAGGGAGCTCCCGTGTTGTTGCATGGGATGGCAGTGTCCACACAGGGCAGGTGAGACTCTGTGTGACCCAGAGAAATGGCAGGCAAGTTAATATAACATGCCTCTGTGAGAAGCTAGTGGTCAGCCCTGGGATCAGTAACCATCAGCAGACGTGGCTCCTGGAAGGCTGCTTGGATCTGGTTAGTGAAAGTCCCAGGAGTGAAGCTCCCAGCAATAAGAGTGACCCCAGTGGAAACAGCAAACTTTAGAACAGACCACTGGCCAGTATTCCTGGAAGATATAACGTTAGCATCAGTTGGAGTTTCAATGGCAACAATGACAGAAGCTTCTTCCAGGTCCTCTTCAGATTTGATGTAGATGCCATCACTTTTCCTTTTGCAGACGTACTGTTCCATTTGGAAGTCAAGGTTGGTGCCATTCAAGTGGGGTTCCGCTGCAAGGAATTTTACGATATCCTCTTCCTTCATCTGCAGGTCCTGAAGGGCTCCAGACATCGTGAAAGTTTCCCTTTAGGTTACTGGAGAACGCAGGAGATGCCTGATGGGTAGCGCTGAGAGCTCATTGTGGTTTTGATTTGCATTTCCCTGATGGCGAATGATGTCGACGATCTTTTCATGTGCTTATTGACCATTTGTATATCTTCTTTGGGGAAATGTTTATTCAAATTACTTACCCATTTAAAAAAACTAGTTGTCTTTTTGTTGCTGTAAGAGTTCTTTATGTAGTCTATGTACAAGTCCCTTATCAGATACATGATTTGCAAATACTTTCTTATATTCCGTGGGTTGTCTTTTCTGTGCAAGGTGTTTTTTGCATGCTTTTATCCAAGACCACCCTGTCAGGTAGCTGTTATTGACAGGGAAATGGAAATTAAGAGAGGAGAAGATGGAATTTAAATCCAGCTTTGTCTGACTGTAAAACTCATGTTTTCTCCTCTAACCCAACCTGCTCACAAAGATAAATTAAGAAACGTTTCTGTCTTTAAGGAGCTCCGTCTGGCAGAGGACATAAAACAAGAACACAAACGAATGTGCTGTAAAGCAAGTGCCACTTGTTCCACAAATGCCACAAGAGAGGGACAGAAGTCCCACTTGTTCCACAAATGCCACAAGAAAGGGACAGAGGAAGTGGAGTAGAAGGTCAAGAGGAGAGAGAGAGAGAGGAAGAGAGAGAGGGGCAGCTCGCACTTCTGGCTGAGGGAATCAGGGTTGGCTTCAGTAAGGTGGCATTTGAGTTAAGTCTTGAAGGATGGGTACAGTTTTAGTGGATGGGGATGATGGAGTGAATGGGAAGAGCATTTCTAAAGGAGAGCAGGAAATGAGGGTTGGTTTAATAAATGGAGCCTGGATCCCAAGACTGGCTATGATGTGGAGTCCCAGGGCTTGTTGATTTGGTTAGAAGACCCAGGGACTGGCTAATATGGGGGATTCTGGGGTTGGCTGAGGTAGGAGATCTGGGCACTGGCTTGAATGGAGAGTGTAAGGGCTGGCTGGAGTGGGAGATGCCTGCGATGTTGTGCATGAGTGTGTGTGTGTGTGTGTGTGTGTGTGTGTGTGTGTGTATCCCTTGGGAGTTCCAACGGATGCCTGGGACGAGGGCAGCTGCAGACCGGCTGGGCTGGGGGGAGAGTCAAGGGACTGGCTAGGATGGGAGACCCAGGGACGACTGCTCCGTGATAGGGGCTGGAGGAAGGTCGCCTGAGGTAGGAGATACAGGGGTTGGCTTAGAAAGGGAATTTGACACTGGTTAGGATTGGCAGACCTAGGGCATGGGGAGCCTGGTTGTCTGGAACCGGGGACTGCCTGGGATGGGGGCTCCTCCCGGGATGACTTTGGATGAAGATCCCCAGGCTGGCGGACCCCCGAGACGGGAGGACTCTGGGAAGGAGGGCTTCTTTAGGCTGCATTAAGTGAGGGCCCTGGGACGGGTGGAATGGAGAGATCTCTTTCGGGCTGTGATGGGGCTGGCCGTCGCCGGGCGCAGGTGTCTTGGGGCCGGTCCAG